TTTAAAAAAGTTGGGGGGTTAACCCCCCCCAAACCCCCCCCCCCCCCCGCTACAGCCCTGTCTGTATCACTGCAGCTACCTACAGCATATATATGCATGGTTAACTAATAAGTATACGTCATAGGGCAGCAGCTCAGGCCATGCTATAGGACTCTGAGACAACTGAGTCGACCACCGAAGGTGCGAGCCTCTAGAGGGGTCTGGGGGCATGCCCCCCCGAAAATTTTGGATTTTTTGAAGCTCAGATAAGCTATTTCCAGCCTTTTGAGGAGTATTCCAACAAGAAAATAAATAATAATAATAATAATAAAGATTTATTAACAGATCCAACAAAGTGGCTCTTCCCTGTTAAGTACTACATTAGTATTAATATTCTACTAACATTAATATTATATAAAATTCTACTATTAATTATTGTAACTAAAACTACACTATACAATTTACAAAGCCAAAAACAAGTTATTGCAATTGTTCCTTAGCTATGTCCATAAGGTTCAAGGCTTTGTCCATAGGTTCAAGGCTACGTCCATAGGGTTTAAGATTCAAGGTTCAAGGCTATGTCCATAGGTTTAAGGCTTTGATTGTATGCTAACACTAACAAGAGTTTCACAATTTTTAATATCGTTCGGAAGTTTATTAAAATATTTTGAGGCCAAATCCTGAAAACTTCCCTTAACTCGAGGAACTGTCAATTTAGTTGAGTCACTTGATCGTAGGTTTCTCAATGGTTTGGCTACTTCCAGGCTGGCATATGATGGCCAAGACGTATCATGTAATTCTTTATATGTTGTTTTTTTTCCCGGTGTTGGTGTTGTGTACTCAGGTGAATGTGATGCTTGTGATGTTACTCTGAGTGTATATCCACACTGGGCGAGCTTGAAAAATATGCCCGGCCACAGTGGGAATCGAACCTACGACCTTTGGAATACTAGCCCAATGCTCTGCCAACTGAGCTATGGCATATTTTTCAAGCTCGCCCGGTGTGGATATACACTCAGAGTAACATCACAAGCTTTATATGTTGTTTTTAAAAGATGCCATTCCCTGCGTTCTTGAACTGGAAGCCAGCCTATCTTGACAGCATCTGCTGTAGTTGCATAGCGTCCTATGACAAAACTTGTTGCAGCATTTTGAATAGGTTGAAGACGCTTTACTAAGTATAATGGAAGCGGGTCAAACACAATATCATTGTAGTCCATTTTTGATAGCACCAAGGCCTCAGCAGGATGCTTAGGATAATCGGCGGGTTCTCGAAAAGCTACTAAAGGATAATCGGCGAGTTCTCTTCTACCTAAAGGATAATCGGCGAGTTCTCGAAAAGCTACTTCAAGAAAGTCACTCGAAATCAATGGGGGAAAAGGAACAGAAGATCCAAGGTCTTTTAGCAGTTTTGGACATGCTAAAATCGAACTATGTTGCGGAGGATGGAAAGGAATACGACTGTAGTTTCCTTGCATTCGACGAAGCAGCTGAAATCTTTTTCGCATTTCAAAACAAGGCACCCCCATTTATCAACACGGACAAAAATAGCTTCACATACTCACTGTTGCATGCAGAATTTGGTCTCTGTGTCTACATTATTTATGTAAAGAGCCTAAATAATACATTTGTTGTACTAAGACCCGACAGTTTTGGAATTGAAGTTTTTCTGGATATGATTTGCGCCGAAGTCAAAAACAACACTGAGAAAACGGATATTGATGCTGACCTCGATGTTGACAAAGTGCAAGGAATACCGAGCACAGTCGACACTGAATGGGATAGAAAGGGTGTGAGAGTTATCCTGGCTGCTAATCGTTCAAGAAGCCAAATGAATAAGCTTGGAATCGATGCAGATAGTATCAAAACAGACACTAGCAAGGTAATATTTATTAATAATATAATACTGTTTCGTATAATTACATAGGTGATGATTGAAAATTCTCCACGCTGATTGGTTGCTGATGAGGTGATTATAACGCGATAGTATAGTGGTGTGCATTGCCAGATTGACTCGGGTTTTGATTCCAATTTCCTCTTGTAGTAACATTGAAACACTGTAGGGGTGACCACTGATGAAACTCTGGAGAAAACAGCTTAGACTAATATAGGGTTATAGAGAGATAGAAAATTAGTTTAATTTGCGATTTACAAAGACTGAATTTAATATCTATTTATTTTCTTAACAACAACATGCAGATCTTAGATGTTGTAGAATCATGGAAAGAGGCAAAAATAACAGCAGAAAACCTGGTTACGGTGGCTTTGAATGAAAAAAAAAAGAAAGCTGACAGAAGCAATTGAAAGTGAATCAATCAGGGTAGAAGCAAAGAGGGGGAAATGGGATAACACAGTAATTACCGAAATGGAGGACAATATAAAGGAACACAAGGAGAAATTGCAAAACGTTAATTGTATGCTCTCTGAAACGCCAAATGATAAGAAGAATAGACAGAAACTTAAACAGATGCAAAGAAGAAAAGCTGTCAAAGTGTTTGAAGAAGCAAGAGTTAAAATCAAGGGAGGCCATCATTACTAGACAGTGACGATGAAGAGTTTGTTGCAAAGAGTATTGAGGACAAGTCAACAAATCATGGGCGAAGGCATGATTTGGTTATGTATACGAACAGAAGGGTAAAGAAGAGGGATCTTCTTAACATTGCAAATTACAGATTGGCCCGCAAGAATAAGAAAATGATCAAGAGTGCAACAACAGTATATAATCGCAGCAAACCTAGATCTTTAAGGTCAATTCAAGCAAAGAAGCACACAGGAAAGGGGCTGTTCTGCACAAAAAACCCTCCAAAGGCCGAAGATATTGACAATGAAAATGCTCACTACCAAAGAGCTGATGAAGGAGAAGAGAAATTGGTAACAGAGGAAGATAGTCACTTTGTTTTTGTACGTCCAAAGGCTATAGTTGGATCAAGCGGATCAACATGGGCTAGTGAAACTATTAGACTTCGGCAGCGCCATCCAGATCTCTTTGAAGTAAAATCTACTGCTAGTGGTGAGAGTTACAGTGTTCAGTTCAGACAGACCTGTGCTGTTGTTCACAATGACTGTTTCCTTTACCAAGGAGGAGTAGGCTGACTTTGAAAAAGCGAATGGACTCGACCACTGTATTTATACTTGCTATGAGAACGAGAGGTTACATAATTTAAAGAGAGAACTTGAATCATCCTTAACTGTGAGTGAGACAATAGAATGTGAAGCGGAAAAGCAAGTTTTCCAAAAAATGATACAAACAAAAATTATTGGTGCAAAAGAAAAAATTGAAAAGTGCTTTCAAGACGTTCCAACATGCGAAGAATTTCACCAATCCATTCAAGATGTTACAATATGCTGTGAAGATATTCTGATGATCATCAAAGATCTTCAATTGCCAACTGTTAAACCTAGATGGTGTGACTTGACAGATGCAGGCCCTGGAGTTGGGGTGTCAAACTTCGAAGTAAAGTTTCGTGATGCTGAAATCTGCCGAATGTTCAGCTCAGATTACAGGATTAGACTTCATAGATCAAGAGGGGACAGTGGGCAGGGTGAGGCAGAAAGGACCAATTCTGCTATTGGTGATTCTGTAGTGGATGGTTCCACGATAGAGTGGGAACAATTCAAGAAGTTCTAAGGAATGATCCAGGAAGAGATAGATGCGTTGGGAGTTAAATAATATGAAGAACTGGAGGAAGAAAGGGTGCAGAAAAATGCATGGCATATATCAAAGGTTTTGGTTGAGAGAATCGATGGAGCTCCAGTTCTTGGCGAAAGAATAAAGTCATACTTGTCCGAGAGCAACAACGAGATTTTTTACTTCAATCAAAAATACGTCGTACAGTTCAACTCATCAAGTATATCATCAACACGAAAATATTTCTTTAAAAAAAGAAATGTTTCGTTCCAATATAATTATAGAAATACCAGACGTCTGTAATTAGCGGTTGTGACCATAGATCACTTGTATATGTCGAGCAATGAAATTGGTTCATTTTGTGAGGCGGACGGGTTCTGGTAATTTTTGCACGTATTAGTATAAATTTTCATTACCTGCAGGGGCCGAGCGGCCCAGAAATACAGTAGTAGTATTTAAAATGAAGAAAAACAAAGAAAATTATATAATAAATATATACCGCTGTTGACGCTTGAATACTTCAAATATAAATCAATCAATCAATCAATCAATCAAAAACTTTATTATTGTGTCAAATAAATTCTAGTTTACAAAGAAACTAATTGGGGACACCTACCTATATTAACTACTATTAACTATAAAAACAGAATAAATATATTATAACAAATATCTATAATTAGTGTCGATTAATTGTTGCATAAATAGCAATTAGTACAACTATTGGAAATTAAGTCGGCTA